TTCCTGCCGTTGTCGATATTAAACAGCGTCTCACCTGTGAGAGGGACAGACGCAGATTACTGAGCAGATGTAGAGATCAACCCAGTCCCTCCATTTCTAACAGCAAAGCATTAATTACATATCACATATTATAATTAAAGATCAATTAGTGCTCTGTAATATATAATGATATTTTAGATTATTTTAAAATGTCTTGCACCAGTTAAACAGTTTTGAAGGAGATTTTTAAACATTTTTATACTATTTTAAGAAGGAAACCCATTCAAATCCCCTTACATAGATACTCAGCAAACAGGACCAGCAAACAGACCCATAACCATCATGTACAGTGCATGCACATCAGTGCCAGGTCAACATTGCCAGAATAAATACTGAGTAATGAAATAGTTTACTTTATATAGCATAGGTGGTTACATGCAGTATACAGTACAGCGTCAACAAAACTTTGACAGAAATAACCTGTTTTTCATGATGAAAAAGAGGCTAAAACTTAAAACATAGCCTTTGAAAACAAGACCTTGAAGTTAAATATGAAGTTAATTACTGTTTCAGTGCAGTCTTATTCAATGACCTGCATCTGTAGGATCGCCTACTGTAGCTCCTGATTAGTTACGATTAGCTGTAATCATGGAAACTGTACACAAAGATGGCAACAACTGTAGCCTCAAAATACTTAGTGGCATAAACATTAAAAATGTAGAATAAAAAGAGACCAAAATGTCATTTGAACAAAAGTAGAATAACATGTTTTTTAGTTTACTCTATGCTGGTTCAAACTAACTAAATCAAATGACTAAAATTGGACAACCTCACACTGATCTGGACAGTAATTTCAGTTTTATCTGATACACAGTGTGGACTCAGACGAACACGGAGTCTGTCTCAGACCATGAGGCTGCGGTGTGTTTACTGACCAAGGAAAAGCAGGACGAAGATTATGGTTAGTTGGTAGATGGCATGTCCCAGGATGTTCTTCATCATGGTGCGTGAGATGAGTGGCTTCTTGCGTCCGTATGGTTTCCTGAGCAGCAGCGCCTCAGTCGGCGGCTCGGTGGCGAGAGCCAGTGAGGCAAAGGTGTCCATGATGAGATTGACCCACAACATCTGCACAGCTTTCAGAGGAGAGTCCTGCAAACACACACATATATAAATGTACAGTCGGGCTTTGCCAGCAGAGAAGCCACAAGCACTCGTTTCAAAAAACAAATTCCAACATCATTAGACTAAAAATTATCTTTTAATTTAATTTAATTTAATTGATTTTACTCATGACTATTTCTGGCATTTGAGAGATTTTACTGATCAGTATAAACCACTCTCTTCACCCCTCATACAGACTGCATCAGCATCCGATGTCTCAGACCTGGGTGATGCAGGCTCCGCTGAAGGCGACGATGACGGCCACCACGTTGACAGTCAGCTGGAACTGAAGGAACTTGGAGATGCTGTCATAGATGTTCCTGCCCCACATCACGGCCTTCACAATGCTGCTGAAGTTGTCATCTGTCAAAATGATGTCAGACGCCTCTTTTGCCACGTCCGTCCCCGCAATGCCCTGCAGAGGCCAGCATGGAGGAGAGTTTAACTAGACCTGAGCCTGACCAGGGCGTAGCCAAACGGGATGCAACAGAAGGCAGCAGGAAGTCTGACGTACATGTGGACTTTCATTTTGTGTATTTTCTTTAAACTTGAAAATGTAGAAGTTAAGGAAGATTTAATAATGAATATGATTATGAATACCTTCTTACAAATCAGTTTGTGCCTTAACGCCTTTTTAGATCAGCTCATATAAACAAATTTATCTTTCATGTACTGATGACTATTTTCTGAACATTTGGTGTTTTATGAACACTTTGCAAATTTAACTAGAAGCAGCAGTTTGATGACATCGGTGACAATCATTACCATGGCAAAGCCAACATCTGCTTTCTTGAGGGCAGGACCATCGTTCGTTCCATCTCCAGTTACAGCGACAACCTGCCTCTGCTCCAGAATCATGCTGTCAATGATACCTGACAGAACAACAGACAGACACAGCTGAAACACACTAATGGACCAAATCTAAGGCGTTCCACTCGGAATACCTTTAAAATTGACTAAACCCTTGTTGGGCTACATCTCAGTTTGTACATATGCATTTGTTTTCTTCATCCGTTCAAAGGTAGCTTTTTACTGATTATATATACAGTATATATGAAATGCTCTTTGAGACTGCCTTGTGTATAAACTGTGCTGTATAAATAAATGTGCCTGGTCTTAAACCCCTCGGTCTAACCCCTACATCTGCCTGGCTGTCACTCCCCCACTGCTGTGTTTAAACTGCATCTAACCTTTGACCAGAGTGTGTTTGTCTGTTGGAGACGATCTGGCGAGAACTCGCAGCTTTGGCCAAATCTTATCGATACGCTCCTGCTCAATCTGCAAAAAAAGAAAGAAGACGTGAATATGAAGCTTTAAGTGTCCCCTACAGCATTTGACCTCCTGCAAGGGTTTATAAAAGAATCAAAGGTGTTGTGAGAAAATAAAAGACAGCTACACTTAATGATATATTTTTTTCAATCTTTGCACAATCCGTTTTATTTTTTCAAGCACATAAACACTTTTAAAATGAAACACTGGGAAGAAAATTCACTCTTTGATTAAACAGCCCACAGCTTGATATAACCACTACATGACCAAACTACTGTAAATCCTTCTGATTTGATTATTCTGAGTCTTAATGAAGCTAAAAATGCAAAGGTTGACTTGGAGCTGCAGGGAAGGTAAAGGGGTCAATTCAGTCTAAAGTGTAAGACTGACAAAAGGACCAAGTCTGTCAGCAGTTTGGTCCTGTCTGTCTGTCTGACCTCTCCCAGCTCGTTGCGGATCCGTCGGTTGAACTCTTTGCCCTCCAAACACAGGAAGTCATCTCCCAGTTGCAGGATGCCACATTTGATGGCAATGGCTCGTGCAGTGTTGATGTTGTCTCCAGTCACCATGCGAACCGTGATCCCAGCCCGCTGGCACTTTCTGATGGCTTCTGGTACCTGATGACAACAACAGAAAAAGAAAAAACACGTTGAGAGTGATGTTATACATGTTGAGACTTATGGAGCACTCGGGAGAGACAACACTGGACAAATAAAGGCAAAATACCACAACAGATGATGGTAAAGAACCATCTAGCTCCTCTTCAGATATTCTACAAGTCGCGACTTGTACTGTGTATTTTTGCTATGACTAGCTGTGTAAAGACAGGGTCCACGTACCTCAGGTCGTACAGGGTCCTCAATGCCAACCACAGTGATGCATGTAAGACCTGCGAGGATGTGGGACTCATTGTCCCAGTCAGGCTCTCCATCAGCAGTGGGGAAGTCTTTGTAGGTGAGGCAGATGGTCCTTAGGCCCTCCGACGCCATCGGCTCAATCACCTTCTTCATCGTGTACTCTCGGCTCCGCTGTGTGAAGTCTTTAGTCTGTCCATTTTGTATCAGGACCTTACAGCACCTGGACCCGCAGGACAGAATCATGTGATAATGATGCGACTGAGCACAGAAATGTGTGAGCAGCTGCAGGAAACCTACTTCCTGAGCAGGATCTCAGCAGCCCCCTTGCTGAACATTCGATAGCTCCCATCATGTTTCTTCAGCACGGTGCTCATGGACTTCCTCACAGAGTTGAAGGTGTAGACCTTGTACAGTTTCTCTTCTGGGATTTCGTTGCGGATGGCCTGGTAGTCTCGGCGCAGGTCGAGTGCGAGTCCCAGTAAGGCACATTCAGTCTTGTTTCCCACCTGCCGAGGCAGCCCGCCCTCCTTCTCTGGAGGCTGTAGGAAGCAGCAGCAGAAAGGAAACTGATGATTAACAAACACAAAACACACAGCAGTGTTCAGTGTTTAACATTAAATGACAACAAAGTACAGTTTATCTCCAAAAGACTTCACAACAGACTAGAGGTCTCGGGTCCACGCGGTTCTGAGGACCCAAGACCTAATTCTACTCAGTCTATTCCTCGTTTTATAGCCACATGTCTGAGCTCTGTGTCCTTCACCAAAGAGGATCTGAAAAGACCTGAGCATATGCAGTTTCACCTCTGATCACATGGTACATCACAACAGCAGCAGGGGAAAGTACTTTAAGGCAGGTGGGAGTTCACGGGTCACCAGAGCTTTGTTCTGACAAGGTCACTGAAGCTGAGCTTACTTCAGGTAAAGCAGTCACCGAAAGGCCTGATAATACTGAATTACGGGTTTCTGGCATATGATTTATTTTTTTAAATTATTTTAGTTTCTATAACTTCACACTTGTTCTTAGAACATTATTATTATTATTATTATTAAATTGCTACTCTTTTCAGCTGTGGCAGATCAAATTAGTGGACAATACGGACAATACATCTTGCTGCGCCTGTATCTTTGTGTGTTCTTGATTCAGCTTGACCACGTTTGAACCACTAAACAAATGATCAGTGATTCCATAACATAACCATCTAACTATCACATTTGCTTGTAACCGTCACATTAGTGAAATGACAGAAAGGAAACAGCTAAAAAAAATACTTCTTGGTACATTTTAACTCTCATGCTTGAGTCTGTTCATCTCCTCTGTGCGTTGATCAGGGAGGCAGTGATTGGACGAGCCCTGAGCTGCTGTGGCAGCTCTTCAAAATAACGGAGCTTCCCACTATTTTTACAGCTCACCATAATCTTGGAGGTGTAGGCGCAATTGACCCCGATGCCCTGAATGAGCAGGTCCAGGACATCAGCAGGGATCAGGTCAGGCTCTGGAACCTTTTTGTAGTAGTTTCCTGCAATGTAGATCTGCACCACCGCCATGCGGTTCATAGTCAGTGTGCCCGTCTTGTCGGAGCAGATGGCTGTGGCATTGCCCATTGTCTCACAGGCGTCCAGGTGGCGGACCAGATTGTTGTCCTTCATCATTTTCTGACAGAAGAGAAGAGCAGATTTATCTGAGCATTTTATCCTGAAATTACTAAATATCTTTTCAGAATAAAATGTGTTTTTTCCACGATTGTCTGGAGAAAATGACTCAATTACTACTTTTCTTATGGGTCACTGATCAAACCAAGGAGATGGATAAATAAACTAAAATCTGTACACCAACCTAGTACTAAAATACTTTACACCACACAGAAACTGTATATGCTCAGGGTGACGAGCTGCATAACGCTCTATGCAGACAGACCTTGACTGAATAGGCCAGGGAGATGGTGACAGCCAGAGGGAGACCTTCGGGCACGGCCACCACCAGAACCGTCACACCGATGATGAAGAACTTGACCAAGAACTGGATGTAGATGGACAAACACGCTTTGGACACGTGAATTCCCTGAATCCAGAAGGTATCGATCAGGAAGCGAATGACGAGTATGATGACAGTGAGAGTCGACATGATCAGACCTGACATGCAGACACAACGATAAAGACACAGAGTTTAGTTCAGCTGTAAACCTGATCATGAGCACAACAGATGTTGTGAACAGTGAGGAGCAGCGACATGCTCTGGACCTGTATTTATCAAACCTTCCCGAATCATTGAGAGTCAGCATTAGTGTAGTTCATAAACCGGTTTCCTCTGAGAAGCGCCAACGCCATACGAGACAGAATGTATACAATAAAAGTCCAGTGGATCATTTCACTTTGATAGAACACAGTAACCTTGGGAATTTCACCCAGCGGGGAGGTGATGTTCAACCTTCAGATGATGTCTACATCACGCACCCTGTTCCTCATTTATCCAATTTGGTGTTTGTACCTGCTTTGCCAATCTGCACAGCGAGTTTGGTCAGCTTCCCCTGGAGGACAGACTTCTCCTTCTTTGGTGGCCTTTTCTTTCCCGGTTCGCCATCTTTGTTGAGCGGCTCTGTCTCCACAATGACTCCATCATTGTTTTTTCCTACAGGGAACAAAAGCAGTCTTCAAATAATGGCAGAGTCTTGAATAATGGCCAGATATAAAATTGGTTAAAAGAACCGCTTCTACTTTGTCGATTTTTTCTAATTCCTGTCAGACTGATATCGATGAAATCAACACTTGCTGCGGATGTTCTACATCTGGTATGTAGGGGGTGTTTGTCTAATCCCAGACTAGGTTTATTGTGTTTATTTGTTAACATCATACACATGTCCTCCAAACTAATGTAGTAAAAAATTATCCAACCAACTAATTAGAGTGGATTGACTCTGTTCCTTATGGGCCACCATGGGAGCTATAAACTGACACTGTAGCTCAATGACAGAGGGCGAGGGGGTCTGCAGGTGTGTGTGTGTGTGTGTGTGTGTGTGTGTGAGTGAGCGTGCTGATCCCAGCTCAGTAATGAGGTTATTAGGGAACAAGCAGGGAGCAGCAGCAGGCAGGAGAAGAAAGCGGCTGCCGATCTTAAGGCTGCTTGGTCCTAATCATGATCAGAGTCAGGAGCACCTGCTGCTGCTCAGACCACAGGGACACACATGGTGCCATGTGGGACCAGAAATCTGAGTAACTTCAGAACCTGAGATCCACCTAAAATCTGCTGCAGGATTTTTGTCTCTGATCAGTGCCACCTCCTGCAAACCAACAGTTTTTGATTTATTGACTGACTGATCACATAGTGCCCAGCTGCAACAGCAAAATGATCTTCTGCCAAATCATGACGGACAGATCCACAAATCAAAAGAGAAAACACTCCAAGGTTTCTATCCATTTCATACAACACAAATGTTACAAATGATACACTGTGCAGTTTTAACATCAAACAAAAGCCCACAACACACAGTCAGCAAACTGAACATTAGGGCTGCACGATAAATGATTTTGTGAGCATGATTCAGATCCCTGTGCAATCTCAGTCTCACGTGACAATGATTCTGCTGCCTTTGCAAAAGCCTAAACTGTTGATACAGCTTTATACAAATCTATGCACTCACCCAACATTTTCTCTCTACATAAATCATTCCAGTACCTAAATTCAAATTCACTTCTGATGTCAGATAGGTGTGGGGAAAGTGGGGGAACCCTAACCTCGTCCAAACCATCCAACAAGCAGTTTGGACCAATTGGCAGATAATGAAGCCAACAATCAGACACCCTGAAGTGAAATATAAGCTCTGCTGTAATGAACCAGCTGAACTGAAACAGGTCTGGTTATATGCTGCACTTACGCTTCTCGTCTTTCTTGCCCTTCTTTTTCGGCACCTCTTCCTTCTTCTCTTTCTTCTTTCTGTCTTTCTCACCATCTCCTTCCTCCTCAGCACCGAGTAGTGTGAAGATGATCCCAGTCTGAGAGTTCACACCTACAGCAGTGACCACCATCTTGCCAGAACCCTCCATGACATGGGTACCTGAGAGAGAAAAAGGAAGTTTACCACTGTTATTTCTGTCCACTCTTTACACACAGCTTCAGTGGCATCTGTGTGCATTGTATCCAATTTTTGAGACTTGACAACAGGATTCGTTGAGCAACCTGATGGAGGCCATGTTGGCTCCTCAATTCATCCAGTCACATGTTCAACTTACTGTCATGACCAGAAATATTAATATCCTTGTATTTCTGTCAGATAACGCACCACTTCTCCCAGAAAATATACCTGACAGTATCATGGGGTCTTTGTCGACACTCTTCTTGACATGATCCGACTCTCCGGTTAAAGAGCTCTCATCAATCTTCAGATCGTTTCCCTGAATCAGGACACCATCGGCGGGGAGGAGGTCACCTGGGAGAAGCACAACACACAGGAACGCTGAAATAGCAGATCACCATGTTACATCATCATTCATCTGTTGGTGATATGACGTCTGGAGGGGAAAATCAAACTGATGGAAGGGTGGAAAAAAAAAGATTAGTTTTCTGATGATGATGAAATAGTGATGTAATCACAGTGGAGAAAAACCACCTCATTATCATTAGACAATGTGAATGTTTGCTGTGATTTTCAGCCTCTGACTGAAAGATGGTGGAAGATGGGCAGTGGCTCTGCTTTCCTGACTTCTGTGCCACCACACTAGGCCCAGAACTACTACTACTACTGTCAAAGCTATACTTCTGTTATCATACTTTAATGAGTAAATATAAACAATTTTCCATGTAACAAAACATGTAAAAAGTGGCATCCGATTATGCACCTGATATCAACTTTCAGCATGTGACAGTTTGTGAGCCTTGATGTGTTGGACTTACTTCGTCGGTACCAGTAAAGAAGTGAGGTTTCACAGCTCTATCTTCGTGGGGTAAACGTCATTTGAACCATTGCTAAGCTCTGCTGTACATCAGTCTATGCCTTTTGTTTTCTCACCGTATTTGATTTGTGCAACGTCTCCGACGACGATGTCAGCTACATTGACCTGGATCACCTGGCCTCCTCGGACCACGGAGAACTTCTGTTCCTGCTCGATGCGGTTCTGGAGGCTGCGGAACTGCTTCTCTTTACTCCAGTCATTGAAGGCTGTGACCAGGACCACACACACCACAGACAGCAGGATGGCAGCACCTTCGATCCATCCAGCCTCCGCCTCACTCTCGTCTTCCACACCGACAGCCAGTTTCCCACAGTCTGAACAGAGACAGCACAGGCTGAAAGCTTAGATTTCTGAATGTGTTAAATGTTCTCCTCTACACACTCAAACTGTGCAGCCTGACAGGACGTGACCTCAGAATCCAGGTTTTTAAAGACAAGTCTTTCTACTTTGAAAGGACATGATACTGTGCTTCTCTGATGCAAAAAACCCTAAAGATTTTAATGCTGGTTTAATACAAACTGAGCGGATAAAGATTCAAAATTCATGATTCATTTATTGTTACATCCCATTATATAAGTACAAGAGAGTAAAGGTCTTTGGTTTTGGCTCCTTAAGCTTGCAGCAGTAATAAAATAACACTAAAGGTTATAATAAAATACAATACTGTAATATAGAGTATAAATAAAGTGTGTGGCGACTGTACAAATGTGCACTGTTTTCATGTTTCTGTAAGCACAGCTATACCTGAGTGCATGTATGTCTCATTATTCATCACGGTTTCTGCTGGTTTCAAGTTAAATCTAAGACTTTTAAAGACCTTTTTAGACCACTTTGAATGCAGTTTAAGACCTACAGTACTTCCAGGCTGCGAATCCCCCCAGAGAAGATAAAAATAAGTGTACCCGATGAGAGACAGAAATACAACATGGAACCAACGTGCCACAGGTAGTACTACTGTATCGCTGAAACATTTTCCTGAAAACACATAAAAGCACGACTTACTGTTAGTTCAACATTGAAATAAAGATACAGAAATCTGCTCCAAAACTGGTCTAAATGTGAAGAGGTGCTGTCGACGTTGTCTGTGACCCAGACTCACTGAACAGCACTGGCAGCAGTGCAGAGACATTAGCTTCTAAAAGTTTTTGAGTGGGATTGACCTTTCTGACCAGGCAGAGAGTTTCAGTTATTTCTGCTTGATCTGTAAGTTTTGTTGCATTCTCATTGTGGTGGAGCGTAGCACTACAAATATCTGAAAAGCTGGGCAGAGTGTGGTGGAGCGTAGCTGGTTGTAGTAGAGCATAGTGGAACAGAGAGAGGGAGTGCTGGGTGGAGCTGGGTGGATTGATATGGAGTTTCATGCTAGTGCTAACTTAAGTTAATACTGTAGCTTTAACCTAAGCATGATCAGTTTTTTAAAGACATATCAAAATTGCATTTAAGACCTTTTCTGGGCTTTTCAAGGACCCACAGAAACCCTGAATTCAAAAGCCTGATTGCCTGGGCCATGAGGCTGCAATACTGCTTGCTAGACAGCAGCAGCCTGAACAGTCTGCAGGCGGGGTGGCTGCGGTCTTTGATGATCCTGCAGCCTTTAGCGACACACAGATTGAGTGACTGTTGCATAAATCATATACATCACAAGGCTCCTGCTGGGTCAGAGGTCAGCTAGGCCCAGTGACTCCCTGCTTTTCTGTTCTTTAAACCAACAGGCTTGTTGAAATTAAAACTCTGTTTTTTTAAGGGGGCCACAGAGTCTTGTGAAACCTACAGGTTAACAAAATAACAACAGAAGTGTTAAATCATAGGCTACCTGCAATTTCAAAGCCAGCAAGACTCTCCACAGAAATGTACGTGAAGTTCATAGTGAATTCTGGGAAACAGCAGTCTGTCAGAGGACAGTGGTGATGATAATGATAATGGTGCAGGCTGACAGATAAACCAGATATAAGCTGTGTGGCTGTCTGCGCATCTTAACTCTGCAGTGATGTGTTGATGATGAGCTCAGACTGTACGTAAAGACGGATGTCATGACAACTCCTCTGGATCGCCACCTGGTGGCTGGTTAGATGTAAAGTTTTCATCTGAACAGAGCACCTGTTGAAAATAAAACCATGAACTCACTCCTGTTCCTAGCATCTGGCGGATGGTAGAAAGCCAGGCCTAGTGAAATGATGGCTGCTATTTCCAGGATGATGAGCGTGACATCCTGCAGAGCCTCCCACACTAAGTACAGAAAGGTTTTTGGCTTTTTAGGAGGAATAATGTTCTTTCCAAACTCCTGTTTCCTTCTGTTGATCTCCTCCACGTGTCCATCTAAACCTGCAGCAGGAGAAACAAAGACGTCATACTAGGTGTCCTCCTCCAAACCTGGCTTAAAGCATTAACCTGAGTTTATATTTGATCAAACATCTGCTGACCAAAGACAGCGCTCAGTTCTAACCTCCTCATATGTTTGAAACTCTGAGTCTGAAGAACAAATTCAGTAGAAAGGTTTCCTCTGTGGAGCAGAACATGTGACACACACCTTTAAGGACACTGCAGCTGACTCAGTCAGTCGAAACAGGTTTTAAACTCAGCACTTCTGAAGTCTGGAAATGAAAGCAGCGGTGCATGATTTGTACTGTGTGGTGATATTACACTGTATGGCAAATTATCTAGCCCAGCTGCCACCACAGAGGCACACAACGCAGTGTCGTGGGTTTTCCACTCAGCTGCTGCTGACATTTTACTTCTCTGTGTCAGCAGGAGTCTATACACTAAATGTGTTTACTGAATGCATGCAACACCAACAGACTAAATGAATTAATGATGAGGATGAGAATGTCAAAGAGCAGACGTATGAGACACACAGTCCACTGTCTGTAGGCGAACACAAGGCCTATTGGATCCGCTGCCTGAAGGTCAGTATGGCAGAGACAATAGCAGAACTTTACCAACATAATAAAAGTGACTTGACCAGAAAACCATTAAACAGTTTTGAAGCCTTTCAAAGCGATTTGCGCGTGTGCGCCCTCCTTCCCTGTGCTGCGCCCAACCCCGGCGGAGAGCGCATCGCATACCGCGTCCTATCTGAACGCCCCTTTATTCACTGGTAAAGGACACTAAATCACTGCTACATATCACATTCCTAGTGCTGTGATGCCCCAGCTGGCTGCAAACTGAACAGAGGTGCAGAGTTTCTGAACAGTTACCTTTGACAGGTGATGTGCCCAGTCTGGCACACAGTCCGTTAACGTCCCTGTAACACTCCTGAATCCTTTCCAGCGCCTCCGGACCTCTCAGCTCCATAAGTGAGCGCAGCTGCCAGCGCATCGGGTCCTCTCAGCTCCATAAGTGAGCGCAGCTCCTGCACTGAGCAGCTGGGCTCGGCCTCGTGGTTGGCCTCACCCTGTCGGCCATGTTTGGAACCACGAAAAGAATTATTGGCCATGTCTGTTTCTCCCGAGCCTGGCGCTGGCCTTCCCGGGAACACAGACTCAGTGGTCGGCCTGATGTGCAGATCTGGTCGTACAGGGACTCTGTGTTTGTAAAGGGTTAGACAGATCAGGTCATTTCTGTATCCTCGTGAGAAAACAGACAAGGGTCTGTAATAAAAGAAATGCATAAATATTAAAACACACAGAGCCTGACTGGAGTTTTCTATGGAGCAAAATTCATTTCATAAGTAGCCACAACTACTTATTAGGCGATTCGTTCATAATTTGCAAATACGCAAAACGATTTTCTCCTTTCAGTTCATTAAAACATATTTACAGAATGTTAGATGAGAGTGCACACATCACCTGACACGTGGAACACGTTACACTCGTAAGGTTTTAAAGGCTCCGATTCACAAAACGTTTGCTGCGTTTAAGGACAGGTGCAAAACTCAGCTTTTCGGGCTTCCCTTCAGAGTTAAAATTGCTGGCTGCAATGGTTGTTAATCATAATTGAACAGTTAGATAAGTGTGACATGATAATGATAATCAGAAAATACCGTTTTGTTTTTGGTGAAGACTTTCTTGTAGGATTACACCCCAACCCTTGTATTTACACAATTCCTGGCTACAGCTTCAATCAAGGCCAGAACAGATTTAATGACAGGAAACTGTCATTAAAAAGTCTCTTTGTTGTTCTGGGCAGCAGGAGGATGAAAATGTCAGAAAATCAGTCTCCTGAATGCAAACGTGACCATTTAGCTTGTCACTTCAGAAATGTTCACTTTAACTCTGTTCAAGTATTTATATTCCTACTGCCTTTGCCAAAGATCTTAACTAAGTAAGAGTGGTGGTAGTGTCCCCTTTGTTTCAGACTAGCCCCAGTTGTCTGTGTGCAAGTTGAGGTGGTTATGTTTTGTTATGACTGTTAATGAAGGCTGTAAAATTTCAGTAACAGTGCTCATAATTAATTAACAATGCTTATAGGTAAAACACCAATTTAAATGTCTGGTGTGGTGCTGTTAGGGACTAGTTGTATAAATGAAAATCCCTCGCATAACCGGTTAACTGGCCTGAGAAAACCGATCAAACTGTTCTGTTCACTGCCCTAAGTAAACAAAACCATAATGAAAACATTTTACTGTTGATTTACTGTGAATCAGTTAGACTGAATACATATTTGTATAGTGTATTGTGTGTGCTCATGTGTGAACTGAAAGGCTTTGTATTTGTTCCTCACATGTTGTGACCTCTGTGCCTTTAGCTGTAATCTGTGTCAATCAGTCAGCCAAGGCTTAATCTGATCAAGAGCAGGAGGGGAGAAAGAAAAGAGCTACTGAAAGGTGAACAGGCTATATAGAAGACAGGAAGCCAAACTAGTTAACAACATTCACTGCTCACTGTGCAAAACTACAAGTTAATTAACACTCCAAACACACACACACACACAAACAAACAACAAAAAGGGAAAAGCAGGGGGGCTCTAAATCTTCAAATTCGAGAAACTGCAACAAGGTCATTTTGCATTTTTACTGCAGAAATTCTTCATTGATCAGTTATGGTGAACATTACAGCCATCACAGCAGGACATGAACACAAACTATCACTGTGTGTAAGAGTTGAATAAAGTCAGCAGCCAGCCCTTGACACTGAGAAAACACATTTAGGATTTTTGACAGAAAATCTACTCTGAGCCAGTCGTTTCTGATAAACATAGCAGTCGCTTCATTGCTGCAGTACTGAGAAGAATGATGGCTTTACTTACAGAAACTTCCCCCATCATGTCCTGTTAGCACAGCAAGTATTAGTGACACTACAATTATTCCAATAAGTGTCTCACACACCCAGCTCCAGAAATGGCCCATAACACAACCACAGCTCCTCGGCCAGCACCGCACACCTGATCCAAGACTACCCTTTACTCCCAAAACCAGCCTATTGTTCAGAAATGCAGTTTGACCTTCAGCAAGCTCACATTCACAAGCAGCGGTCCATTGCAGGACAAAAAAACAGGAGCTGGCTAAATCTCACTTAATCTAATTAGACAGTCTGTGGCTTCAGTGAGTGCCAGGGAGACTGCTGCTGCAGCTCCTCTTGGTCAGAGTGACACACCAGCTCTGCACTCACCGGGTCTACTGGTCTGCTGCCATAAAACCAGGATTAATAGAGTTTCTGATATACAGTTTTTAATGTGCTACTGGTATTGATCAAATAAACAAATCTATATCACCAAGAAGATTCAAGTCCATGAAATTTAATTGCTTGATCTAATCATTCTTGATGAAAAATTTCTGTCAGCACTTGACATGTTGAACTGGGATCAGCTCTCATCAGCACTGTGCCCGGTGCCACCTAGTGGTAACAGATGGCCAGCACAGTAGGAAAACCCTATCTACAGCATTTTACTGTTATACCAGATAAGTGGTACAGCCTGCTGTCAACAGGAAGAGCTATAATAACAAAACATACTGTTGTCTAGCAGGTTTCAGAACCAGCAGCTGGCTCTTTCAGAGATTCAGTTGTCCTACTTTAATTCAAGAGGGAGAAGATACCTGAAACCAAATGTTTACTGGACAGTGTAACATACCCGACACAAAACACATGCTCAGTCTGTATAACTTCTTTTTGTCCAAAGATTCTTTACTGCTGTTTCATAATGTTATTTTTTCATTACAATGCTGGTTTGTTTTTCCTTTCTGCCCAATTTTGTCTCTAATGTATTAGCATTACTTTTGCACCAATATAAAATATGCATTTTTAATTTTTGTGCACAATACCGTGTTTAATTTGTTTGTGGGTAGTATAATTCAAACAAGGACATAAGTAAGTAGTAAAAAATTAGCCTAAGTAGTAAAAAAAAAAGTGACCTTATTGGTTGGTATTACGAAATACAATCACACCTTGAGATACAAATCATTTTTGAGGAATATTTTATCCCAGTTGTTAGAATTTTTTGTTGCACTTTTTATTAAGCAACAATGCAAATCAATACAGCATTTTTCAGCACAAATTGTTGCAACAGATGTATAACAGTGCATTTAGAGCACAACAGGACAAAAGTAGGCATATAATCCCAGTTGTTAGAATTCGTGCAATCGCTAACGTTGTTGTTGTTGTTATTATTGTTGTTGTTGTTGTTGTTGTTATTGTTGTTGTTGTTCTTCTTCTCCTATCATTTAATGGCGGTTGGCAAACAACCTTATGTGCATTACCGCCACCTTCTAGACTGGGGTGTGGATTACAAAGGACATCTACTAGTACAATAATAAAATGATTTCGCTCAGTTTGTATTGAATTATTTGTCTCAGTCCGGTTCTGTCCAAAAACCCAAAGAGCTTTCCCCTGAGCTTTTTTTGCAACATCCTCAAAATACCTTCAGAACTGCTCTTGTTCTCAAACCAGCGGAGCTGAGCGGATGTGACGAGAAAACATTTGGGACGTGGTGGTCACGTGCATCTAACAAACCTGTGCACAGCTGATCGTGACGTCACTTACCAACATGGCTGACTGGAATAGAGGTACTGTTTTTGACACGTATTCACTTCTAAGTATCTATTCATCAACCTTAACCATCAGTTTAAAAGTAATGTTACAGGGTGTGGTGGCTCGTATAACCCGAATGACACATCAGATCGTCGGTGTGTTCGGTGTCTGGATCCGTAGTTACTCCACTTCGAGTCAAAAACAAGCCTGAAGCTAACCTAACTTGCTGTGGAGTTTAGCTGTTAAGCCATTAGATGTCCGAAGATTAAAACTGGTTTTCGCTATTATGAGCGGAGCGGGATGGTCGCTCTGCAAAACGTGTATCTTTAACTATGGCTATCCCGGCTAGCAGAGCTAACCAGCTAGCTGTCACAAAATTGGTGGTGTTGTGTCGAAATCTGTTTCCCCATCGAGATATGTTTCCCCTAACCTAAATCCTAACCACAGCCACTGGGGGGCGCTACATGAAAACGAGTTTTGAACAGGGGGAACATTTTTCGACACAAGACCGATATGATTATTTTCCAGTGTGTTAACAAAATGCTGCGTCCTTGTCATGTCATTTAACCTTTACTACCTGATGTCATAACTACATTTGTAAGTAAAAATGATGACTCTAAATAAGAAACCTACTGAGGACTTTTTACAGAAACAAGGTGATTGGTTCATAAGTGCCCACACCATTACATTAACATGCTCCTACACAGTACGAAGTTACTACATCATTTTTAATCCAAAGTGTTTGTGTGTTTCCAGGTCATGGCTCTGTGGAGGACATGCTGGATGTTGAAAACAAACGACTGGCTGAGAACCTGGCCACCAAAGTCTCTAGACTGAAATCTGTGAGTCACGACCAACAATTAATCCCTTTATCAGTTTCATCACTTAATACATCAGTTAATCTATTTTAACATAACAACATCTGTCCTGTCTGTGTATCTGACAGCTGGCATACGACATCGACAGAGAGGCCGAGGATCAGAATGAGTATCTGGACGGCATGGTGAGTCCTTCAGGTCTATGAATTAACAGTTTTTTCTTTTTATTTACATGCCGTGTCCTTGGAAAAAGCTGTTTCCAGATTGACTTGCAGTTGTCTGTCAACAACAACATATCCAGTGATTCTGAGCCATCAGTGTAAAGCCTCATGGGAGCTGTAGTTTTTGAGTGACCACAAAATGATCATTGTTCTATCTCCAAAAAGCCCCTCTACACTGGGTATGTTGTGGGCAGGCCAACACAAAATTAACAACTGTGAGAAAGACATACTAAATCTTTGGTTACCGATCCAAAGTGATGTTGGCATATTAAAATATCACTTGTAGCTCTGGAACAGTGTAATGGACATTTGTCACTATTTACTAACGTTTTCTGTTGATAATGAACGAGGTGTCTGCAGGCCTGTTTTTCTGTTCAGTTAAAGTTCATAAAAGTTCTATCCAGGGGTATGTTGGCTCACAAGATGTGACGATACTCGATATTGGCTTCATGAGAAGGAGACCGGTGGTGCTTTTGCTGGATTGTCACTTTGGCATCACACTCACTGGTTCTGTTATGTCCTGATATTGAGAGACAGCTTATATTGTCACTTGTTAATAGCATGAGATCTCGCTGTATGAGATCTCATTCCACCCCTAGTTCCACCTATTCCCTGAAAATGTATACAATAAGTCAGTTTCCCCTTCTTTTTCTCCTCGTTTTCAGGACTCAAACTTCCTGAGTGCGACAGGTCTACTTACCGGAAGCGTGAAGCGTTTCTCTACCATGGTCCGATCCAGCAGAGACAACCGGCGCATCCTCTGCTACGTGTCCCTAGGCCTGGTTCTGGTCTTCTTCCTGCTCTACTACCTGATCTCCAGGATTCAACGCTGATGGGAAAACCAGTACAGCCAGGAGCTGGTTCTGATATGGAGCTGAGACTGCAGACATTCATCTCATATCTGATAGATTTAAATCATCTCTGTGGTTTCTTGCACAGGAGAAGACTTTTTAAATCTGCGCCAAACTGACACAACAAACAGGAAGTAGACAGAAAACATTTTGCTGAAACAAATTCTCAAGCAAATGGTGTCAGAAACACAGTGTTCACGGTCTTACCAAAGATGATGGAGTAACAAAAACATATATATACATATGCCTGGACTTTGGGGCTTTCTACTCTGTATCGCCTTTGACACTTTCTGTTGTAAGCCAGGACATCCTAATTGGGCAAACTGAGGGGCAGAGCTCAAAGGCAGCTAAGGGGGTAGTGGCACCCACCACACCTGAATGTGATAGGCTGTTGAAGCTGTCAATCAAGACAAACCTACATCATAACATGTTTCATGACAGGGTAGCTGTGTCTCAGTTCCAGACTACACAATAATTTACAAGCTGTGAGTTGTAGCTACTGTAATGACATTGCAAGAGTGACAAAATTACTAAAAACATATATATATATATTACAGACTAAAAAGGCATTTGCTTTTTCAGCAGGCTGCTAGTATTGTCTCATAAAGCAATGCACAAAGGAAAGGAAGGAAACATCTCAAAGCTGGAGAAAAAATGTTATTTGGTGGTGAGAGGTACAGAAAGGCACTGTCAGGGAAAATGTGCTTTTTCTTTGCTGGTAATTTAAATGACACTGTTATTCAATGGCCAAAGGTTTTGTTACTGAATTAAAAAAAGTTTTGTATTCAAAGAATGAAATTGTATGACAGTTAATACATAATATACTCTGTTGGCCAAATTATATGTAGTGTGGAACTGGGACAAAGGTGACAGTTCATCAATCTGCTAACAAATGGTGTGTTAGCAGGTTCTTGTTAGCACCTAATTAAAATTTATTGATCCATGGCGTTACAGGCAAACGCAACATAGTGTAAAATTCTGTGTAAAAAGAAATGTTGAAAATGTTCAAATGGTGTTTTTCAGTTTTCTCTTTAGTTTGATGAGCAGTCTTAGTTCAGTATGTGTATGTGGTTAAGCCAGTTTCTTTCTAATAATTCATATTAAATGTTAGGGCCTCCTGTTCAAGGTTTACGGGGACATTTTGTTTATAACATTTCTGTTTTTTCCCAGAGCCTGGGTGAGATTTAAATGGATTTAAAAGTTTCCTTTTTCCATGCACTGACATTCCAGCTAGTCAGCAGATCATCTGCAGCAAATGTTTAATATTATTAATACATATGCAATAAATCTATTTAATTGTGCATTTGTTGGCAATAATGGCTCCTTTTAGCTTGATTTTCCTGGGCAGTTACTGACAGTGATCTATAACTTACATTTTTATTGTACAGTTTTCAATAGAAAAAGCATATTTTAAATGTAATTATTATGACTCGGAGAAAACATTTTATTTTGATAGCCACATGAGAAGAAGCATTTTAATAAAAATACAATTAAACCAATAAAAGCCTCTACAAACAATATATAATATGAATGATAAAAATGTCATTACTTCCAGTTACTGTTGTACACAGGACTGAAACCAAACCATGTTAATTTGTTTTATTTAAATTTATGTTAATTTAACTTCCCAACAAAACTTTAAATGATGTTTCAAATCAGGAATCAGTTTTTGATGGGGATATATAGGACATTTATTTGTTGTTTGTTTTATTTTGTGGCCTAATAATATCCTCAAGATGGAATATATGGAGTCTAAACATACTGGAAAGACGGACAATACCCAGGACCTGACTGTGGTCTTCCTGTCCTGTTATAAATAAAATTTTATATTTCACATGTTAAAACTGAACAGGAAATAAATTAAAATCTTTGGTTCCTACTTTAGTAGTGTTTCTTATTCATTGGCCCTGGACTTGTATCATGATGTATTAACAGAGAACTAATTAATGGGTGTGTTCTGGCAGCTGTGTCGCTTCGGGTCGGCTCGTGTTCTTTCGGGAGTCTCCGGTGCATATCTGCCTTGACACTTGATGAAGGAAAACACTCGCGGCCTTCTTCTTTTCGGTTTAACTCGTCTGATTCTTTGACGTTTTAGTTAAGGTCGGAGAAAATATTGTTGATCGTATTGATTAACGTTAATAGTTTCCATTTTGTGGTTATTCTCCGGCTCGTACCGGGATCGGCTGCGCTCGGACCCGGATCTGCCCCTGCATTTCGGTCACATTCGGCTCGACGGAAAAATGGACGAAGCGGACTCAGCCACGAAGGCACTCGGGTTGGATGAACCGCCCATCGGCGGGCCGCAGGTGGAGGGAGTGGGCTCGGATACCGAGTCTGAGGCCGAAGTTACCACGATGACAGTGATGGCGGAACCGGGAAACATCGACATGGGAGCCGAGTCACTGCCGAACTCAGACGAGGCCGACACGGCTTTCGCAGGCAAGGCAGCCGTCAGCTAGCAGCAGGCCGCTGCTATGCGGGGAGAGCGTTAAAAGACAAAGTGTGATGACGCTGTTAGTTAGCTTCATTCTGTTTAAAGGGGGATCCCACAGATGTCTGGGAAATGTATTAGTTTTAATTGCTAAAAGTTGATTAGTAACCATCTCATCTAAACCACTGTAGCGTCTGCAAATTTGCAGTAACAGCACACGCGCTTCCAAACTCCGTTCAATTATTGTGCAGTTTAAAGATTTGTATATAGGATATACTTCACATGCATCATACCGCACGTTCCTTTCACTAACTTAGGTGTTTCCAAATTGGGCAGAGACAGACATTAAACAACTTTCCAGCCTTTATAAACTCCCAACATTTAGAGTTGGTTTACAAGCCCACCTCATTACTGGTAGCAATAATAGGACGCACTCCTACTTCTTATTTATTTAGCTCGTTAAAGTCTTTATTTTACTTATATCAGTTCTGGAAGAGTAGTCACATGTGCACCGAACTGAAGAGTGGATTGTAACAATTCAGAAAACCGCTGGCCCATTATTTAATTAATAGGTTATGCATGCTTTCTGCATTCTTCAGACTTAAAATGTAAGATACTGAATGCAGTTTGGTGAGTGTAAGGTGTGTGTCAGGGCTTTCCACCTGTCTGAGCTGTGCCACCATGGGATGAGTAGTTACCAAACAGCTGTGAAGAAGAATAATGTACTCAGATTTTTTAATAGCAACCATGTAATATTCATGTCTTTGTAAATTCATGTGAAATTCTGCATCAGATTTCTCCCCTAGTTGATGTCTGAAATACCGAGAATGCTGCTTAAAATGGTAGTTTAACTTCTATCATTATGAGTGCTGCTTTCAGGGACAATTGTAATTGACAACTTGTAATTTACCTTAGTGAAACACAAATTAAGGTATAAGTTGTTAATAGAAAAGATCTTATTCTAGTGACATAATTGATTTCTATATTGACCTGTGGAGCCACAAGTATAACACTCCACTTTGGCTGTGATATTACAATTTTACATTACATGAGTACTGTCATAGCCACAGTGTTGTAGATGCACTGAGCTGAGGGATTTATTTGATGATGAAGTAGCTGAACATCTTGCTGTTTTTCCAGATGTGACCGCAGTGACAGTCGGGGACGTTCAGGCCGCAGAGGACAACGTTTTCACCACAACCGTTGCCACATCAGGAAGCCTCTCTGAACACATGCTGGTAGATCCACACACAGCTTTTATTCTAGGCCTTTTTTAAGCTAATATTTCCCATCTTTAATAATCATGAACAACCTTGATGTGTCATTTTGCTTTGACACGTCCAGTAGAGTGACCATTCCTGCAGACAGTCAGCTGTTAGAATACAGAAAGTTCTACCAGGGTTTGTTCTCTTGGTTCCACTTTCACTCTGGACTTGATTTCACTAAAAACTGAACTTGAGCTTTTTTTCTAGAAGCAGTGTTTGAGGCACAATTCAAGTGAGGAACTTTATGAAATAACCAATAAACTGTGGTAAAACTAAAAACTGAGTGAATGAGAGAAATCAGAGCCTGAACAGGACCAGTACATCAGATTTCAGTCCAGCTGGGTTTTTGGAGATAGGACGAGACAAAGGCCACATGCCAGTCAGCACCTCAGTCGACCCCATCTCCAGAGCTAACCTCACCTCCCTCCACAGATGTGGGTCAATCAGAGTCTTTGATCCCAATCCACATTTAACAATCCAGGGTGTCTCTGAAACAGAACATGTTTTTGTTAAGTTTGCTTTAAAAACAATCACAAAGCACAAAAGTGCAATCAAATGGCAAGTCCATGACACAGTGACAGGATTTACTCT